TATGGCCGGCTGCAGATGCTGCACATCCAGATGAAAACATGGAATCTGTAGGAGAAAAACACAAGCACATGCCACGATTGGCAGAACTAGCTTCAATGACTAAGGGACATCTCTTGGGAAGGTGAATATGGGCCTGAAATTAAATAAAGTAAGACCCTGTGAGTTCTTGTTGCCAAGGAGTTTAGCTACTTAAAGATATGTGTGTGTCTTACTTATTGCTGTATCTCTAGAGACTGGAAATGGATAGCAAATACCTGGTGTGTTTGCTGCCACTACTGCTTAATCTTTCCTCCTTAGCTGACATTGCTAATCACTCCTGGCACTTTCCTGCTGAGCCCACATGTAGACTCAGACTGCTACAGGCAGTAACCACCAACTGATCAGAGCTGGCACACAAGATGGAACCAATTTGCAATCCCTGGTCTAGAACATTGTATGTTTAATAAATACTTGTTGACTGCTCAAGTAAATGAAGACACGTTTCTAGAGATTCTGGGACTTTGTGGTACTTCTTTCCCTTGCATTTCAAATGCACTTTTTTTTTTTTTTTTGCTCTGATGGCTTCCAAGGAGTCAGATCCAATATTGTTTTTTAATTTAGGTTCACCACATTATCCTTCAACTTTGCCTAAACAGGGATAAAGATAATTTCCATAAAGCTGTGTTTATCAGAGCATCCAGGCACATCCGGGCATGTCTGGAGGACTGATGAAGTGGGTCTGAGAATCTCATCCCAAAGCAGGAGAGTTGAGCACATGGGTTAGGATCTGAGACAAGAGGCCAGAACAGAAGGGAGGAAATTGTGGTTATTGAAGTTGACATTCTGATAATTTGCCAGCTCAGGCACTTGCCTACCTCTGAGGGAAAAGGGGCTACAAGGGAAGGTCAAGTAAAAACTATAAAAAGCTAATTCAATAAAGGGGTCATGATATGGCACAAATATCATGAACTGAGGGCACAGGACAGCAATGGGAAATGCTGCCCCTGTCAACATCTTCAGTACGGCTCCTTAGGCAGCGTGAGTGTGGAGGGCAAAGTTTAGCAGCAGCTTTTTGACATCTCCCGTTGTTATACTAGGCAGGCGCCATCCACTTAGTTGCTGCCTTGGGATTGACTCTACCAGGAGACGTCACCCCAGGGAGCTGGAGTAGGACTGGAAGGCAAATAAATGGCAGACCCTACACAGCACACACTCATAGGCAAAACACCAGTGGAGGATTCTCAGAACCACCTGGAAGAAATAGTGGGGTAGTGTGCAAGAATCCCTATCCAACATTTGGGGAGAGATGAGAAATGGCATTATGTTATCACAGTCCTGGTTTACCTTATGAGCTGAGGACTTTGCAGGTCGCAGGCATTTGGAGGACTTTGCTACCTCAAGGACTTAGAGTACAAAGGACTGCCAGTGGAACACACACACACACACACACACACACACATATTTCAAAAGAGGAACATTTTTTTTCAGAGCAGCTTGATCATCACAATGCATTAATTTAATACCTAATGGCATGTAGCATTTGGCTTGTGACAAAAGGAACTCCACAGGATTCAGACACAGCCCTCCAGCAGTGTATACAAATTAAGAATACCTGTACACACTATAATGGCCAAATAAAAAGCTCAAAGCAATGCATGAATTGTTGGTGCAACATTTCTATCACATGTAGGTCATTTTGCTAAGAGGATCACAAGCTCCTTTAAAGTACATGAATACATTATTCAATTTTCTTGACAAAAATAAAAGCTCAGAAATTCAGAATGACAGGAGCCAGGTCTGTATGGCTATAGGAGAATCAAAGGAGTCTAGAAAATTTGATTAACTCAATTTGCCCCAGTTCCTTAGGGAGGCTTCAGAAACCAAATTATTATTTAATAATCCAGGTAGTACGTTTGGATTGAAAATATCTTTCTGACATTTCTGCACTTGTTTTTGAAACACAGTTTTAACTGAGGGTCAGAATCAATGGAATAAGAGATATAACAGCATTATTGAGCCTCTAAAATATAAATAAATGTCTATTCCCTCCAAACCTCTGCCCTGGCCAAAATAAGAAAACAATAAAAACATGCATTTGGATAAGACACTTTAATGTCTTTGAATCAGCCTAATCTTCCTTGATTTTCTGCAGAATGACATATTACTGTGATCCAGTGTGATATGAAGCAGTTACTAGCATTTGATTTCCATCAGAATGACCCAGAGAGTTTGTATTAACAGAGATTGCTGGGTCCCATCCTTAGAATTTCTGATTTCGTTGGTTTGAGTTGGGACTAAAAGGTTTCATTTCTAACAAATTTCCAAGTGATGTCTACATTGCTACTGCACAGGGAAACACAATTTGAAAGCCACTTATAAAATGACTTATCACCACTGTGAGAACTAAAAATAAAAGCTCCCCTGCTGAGTGAATGGACCCCCTCTTGACCAAGAGAACCCAAGAGAAACCTTAAAAACTGAGTTCCTGGCTATGATGGGACAGGAGGTCAAACATACCTCATTATTCTCCCTCCCTTTGGTAGTTCAGACATAACAGTTGATAAGCATTAATGTTAAAATAGAGACCATAAAACTAACAGAATAGATTCTTTGGGGCAACAAGATACCAAATTATAAACAAGACCTAAGGCCAAGCCAGGCAAGGGTTAGGTCATGCGTCCCTACACTTAAAGAATAAACTCTGTTCTAACTGCCAGAGGTTTTATCCTCTAGTAGCTAAACAAGCACCGGCCTCAAGATAAACAATATTTGAAACAATTGCAGTTCACCCGCAGCCAGATGCTAACTAACTGACCCCCACCCATCCCACAAGCCATAACTATAGCTTTGATTAGACAAGAGACTGATTTCAGTAACTTTCTCCTGATAAGAGACCACCAACCATGCACTGGTTCTGGCTGGCTTACAGAGGCTGCCCATGGAGGGCCTTCATGTCCCTGCTTCACATGTTGATGTATACTCCCTGATCGTAATATATTAAAATATTAAGTCTCCACCCCAAAGTGAACATGGGTCATATGTAACATACAAGTTTATTCAGTACACATGTGTTATGACCTCCTTCGTGAATAGTCATAGTTCCTCCTGTAATCTGTTGAGTAGGTACACTTGGCCAACACCCAACCTGTTCTGGACAAATTCCTGTCCCACCCTCTTCTCCCTCCCTCAAAGTGTCTGCTTCCAGTTTCTGCCAGAGGCCCACTTCCTAGCCTGCAGGTGTGATCCTTTTCTTAAGAAATAAAGCTTTCCTTTCTAAATTTATAAATTGTGAATTTTAAGTTGACAGCTATCTGAATCCAGTATTTCGCTGAGCTTGTGGAAAGGCTTTCTAATTCTATACCTGTGTTTGTAATTATTAGTTGGATTTATTCTGTATAGAAGAACTTTCCTTTATCCATGAAAGCTATGTGATAACTTTTGAAATACAAAGCAAACCAGAAAAGTAAGATAACTGTTTAATTCTCCTCCTTTGATTATTAAATTTCAAAGAAATGATTAGAGCTTAGCCATCTCCAATGGTGTCTAATGAGATGTTTAACCCTCATAACAACCCATACAATGTAGGCATAACTATTGTCTTGGGTTAGATTATTCAGAAGCATCCTAAGACAAGAATTTGTGTGAAAGTAGTTTATTGGGGTAGTGATTCCAGGAAACATGATAGGTAAGATAGGGAAGTAAGATAGGGAAGGAAAAAAAGACAATAAAAGATAGGTTGTGAAGTCAGTTATAATATGTAACTGGAGCTTGATCTCATTAGGAAACAATGGAACTAGAGACCATTCTCCTAAGTGAAGTATCTCAGGAATGGTAAAACAAACACTACACATATTTACTATTAAATTGGAACTAGACCATCAACACTCTGTGCACAGATGGAAGTAAAACTCCAGGGAAATAATGCAGGTGGGTGGGTGGGATGGGTGAAATGATACCTAACGGGTACCGATGTACAGTATCTGGGTGATGAGCACACTTATAACTTTGACTCAAGCAGTACAAAGTAATCCATGTAACTAAAACATTTGTACCCCATAATATTCTGAGATTTAAAAAATGAAACAATGAAATATAGGCAGAATAAACCTCAGAGTTGTCCCAAACTAGTGGTGAGGAAGAGGAAGTATTTATCAACTATCTTTGTACCTATCATTGGTTGAGAGCTCCTTCTAGGGGTCCTCTAGGTGAGCTGACATGCTTTTATGACTAGAAAAAAAACACAAGAAATGAAAAGCTCCCTGGCAAAGATTCACAGGAGTTTTATATTGATAGTAAACAGCCCTCAGCACATGCAGGGAAATGCCAAGGGGTTGTGTTAGGACAATATTTTTTGTTATAATTATTCTCTCCATTTTCCAGATGAGCAAACTGAGACACACAGAGGTTAAATGACTTACCTAGGAATATAGACCTAATAATAGATAAAGCAAGAGTTCAAATCTTTGAAGTATGGCTCCAGAGTATGTGCACTTAACCATCATACTGTGCCCCATCATAGTATGGAAAGGAAGAAGGACCAAAAAAAAAAAAAAAAAAAAAGGAAAGAAGAATGAAAGGAAGGACAGAAGGGAGAAAGGGAAGGATTATAGCTCCTCATGAACACATTTATTTCTACTAGGTTTAAGCTTCTAGAGTATAGAATTCACATTTTATTCATCTTTATATCCCTCCTTATCCCTCCTTCAACCGATACTGCAACCCACCCTGAACACTGTCAAAAAATGCATTGTATCATACCTAACCTCTACCTAAGGGGATAACTAGAAGCCCCTTACCACTAAGATTTTTATTATTGAAAACCATATTTTTAATCCATTTTACAGTACAGACTAGCAGGCTTTGGAGTCAGAATGACTTGCATGAATTATTTGTTCTCAACACTTCACATTACAGGGCTCATAATGGGTGCTTAACAAATGGTTTCCTATTTGTAGCATGGCATGCCATTTCACAGTTTACAAAACTGTTCACACTTCCTTATTCTGTTTGTTTCTCCATAGGTTACTTCATACGCATATACCTCTACTTTCAGTCTCAATTGCCCTAAATTGCATAGAAGAGGAAGACAAAGGTCATAGTCTATAAAAATAAAGGTATGTTTTATTGGATTATTTTTCAGCAGATATTTACTTTCTCTCTCCCATTGTAGGGAGAGAAAGAGTATATTTTCCTGGTCTATGACTTAAGGCCATGTGATTTGCTTTGGCTAAAGGAATATAGGCCAAAGTGATGATACGCCCATTCCAAGATGAGGCTTTAAAAAACATAGCAAGTTTTCTGTAACCCTACTGTGTTCCTGCATTTTGCCATAGGAAGAACATTCCCATGATTCTGCATCTTGATTCTGGGTCCTGGAAAGAAATTTATAAGGAGCTGACATGATCCTGACCCTTAACTTGAAGCAGAATTGGGCTCAGCTGACTTGCATTCCTGTGAGCAAGAAATTGATGTACATACTAATAAGTAAGGAATAAATGTTGTTATAAAGCCACTGAGGTTTGAGAGTTGATTTTTATGCATTGTTATTGCAACAATCATTGATGAATACAGGCGTGCTGTATTTGAAGCTCTCACGTGTCTTTAATGGCCAGCTTCTCAGTGCTCACAGAGTTCCTCGGTTTCACCAGATCTTCCCCACCTGAATAACAAAGTTATATGGTTGGGAATAGAGGTTTTGCCTATTTCAGTCTATAGGTTTAGGACCCTCAGAAGATTCAAGACTGGTAGAAAGCCACAGCAGGGTCTAAGATGCAGGTGTTCATGCTTGCAGGTAAGTAGATGCATCATTAACATCAATAGCAATAAATTACATTTAAAGTGACTTTTCAATTGGTTATCATATCCTGAATGAAATAAAATTAACTTTCTAATAATTAGCCACAAATTTCTAATGTGTTTATCTTTACCATATGCTTCCCAACTCTGCTAAGCCTCAAATCCATCAACCAATAAATTATTCCTTGGATTTCACTTTAGGGACCAATTAAAAGTATCAACATGTTTTCTTTCATTACATTGGGAGTTTTACCTCCAGCTGTTGGTATCTGGGCTTCTAAAAGTATGAAGCATGATTACTCAGGGAGAAGGCACTTGAGACAATGGGAGGAAAATAGATTCTACTGAAAGCTAGTTTATGCAAGCTTAGTGGTTCCGCCCTCCACACTTCATTCAGAGGGCACATGCTTTCCTAAACACGTGGTAAATAATACAGCTGGCACCACAGCATGAGAGGTACGCTCCCAAGCCTGGAGGGAGAGCTCCTGGCAGATAATCCAAGGGCTAGCAATTTATCACTTACGCAGACAGCTCCTCTTGAGGGCCTCCTTTTACATTTTCTGTTTTGTGATACTTTCCACTGAAGACTTGGATAAATGATTTCCAGATGGTATCAATCATGGGGCTACCTACTAATAGAAATCAGGGAAAAGTAATTTAATTAATTAGCAAGTCAAAAGGAAAGGAAGGAAGATTGCGCATGAAACTAGAAAAAAAGGGACCTCTTGCAGCTATCTAATCATCTAGGGACAGGGCCACTCAGGATAAAGGAGGCTTGACCAAACTTCAAGCAACCAGAGACCTGAGTCCTTTAAATCACAGGCTTTGGAGTCTAACAGACACAGGTTAGACTCTCAGCTCAGTCTCAAGTTAACTATACATAGTGGGTAAGTTACTTGCACTCTCTGAGTCTCAGTTTCCTTATATGTTAGGAGAAAAAAAAAGGTTAAAAAATGCAAACTATGTAATACTATTTTACAGACTTAGATAAGTAGCATGCAAAGCATTTAGCAAAGTGTCTGGCTACTAGTTGGCTCTCAAAAAAAAACGTTCACTCCCATTTGTGATCAGTTGAATGACTGGATCCAATTATTCACCCCTTTCTGAGTCCACACCATTGCCATTACCACATCTTAGGCAGAGTGCACTTTCCCAACTCTTGCTTTTGGCTTGACCACATGACTTGCTTTGACCAATAAATGTGGGTGGAAGTGAAAATGGGCTACGTTTTAGGCTAGGCCTGAAGAGGAATCACACGTTTCTCCTTGTCCTTTGCACCTCCACCATCACCATAAGAAAAATATACACTGGCTGGCCTGTTGGTCCAACAAGGCAGCCAAAAAACACATACAAAAGCAAGGATGCTCCAGCCCATCTGCAGAGACACAAATCCAAGTCCAGAACATTCAAACGCTGCCCAACATGAAAATATGTGAACAATAGTAAATAATGGTTGCTTTTAGTCACTGAATTTTGAGGTGGACTAGTTTAGGCTGCAGTATCTCACAGATTATATTATCTCATATTTCTTCTCTCAGTCCTCATTGCATTTCTGCCTAGGACTTATTGAATGAATATCTTTGCAATGCTGATATTAGTGATTAGGCCCAGAAAATAGTAAACTAAATGTATCACAGGAATTTCTACCATATATTTGGTTGAAATATTAATCCCCAAACACAGATGTGTAAGAAAAGCAACTTAACTTTGTTATGATGACACTCATTTTTTATTACGTTTATTACAAGCCACCTATTCTGCTGGGGGAAAATTCTCCCAGTCAATTCAGGGTTTCTCCTCCCTCAAGGTTTGTGCTAACTTTTAGAAGTTTTTCATAGGAGGTGCAAGGGTTCGGGAGGAAAACTCTGGAAATTGTTGTTCCTAGTTGTTGAACTCTGCAGTTCTCTGCTGTAAAGATCAACAGTTCTCTGTCTTGGTCTATGTAAGTGAGGATCTAGAGTCTGATTTATTCTTGGACTAAGCCTCTTTTGGAAGCTCATTATTATCCTCAACTTAAGGAAGCTTAGAGCTGCTCTCAGATATACAAGAATTATTCTGAAACATCTGTATCTTATTGGGATGAAGAACAACAGAATGCATTGGCTTTATACCTGTCTAATTGGAAGCAACAGGTGGACATTTCTACTTTAAGCTTTTATTGCTTCCCTAGGTTCTCACAAGGAAAGGGGCGTGGGTTCCTTTTGCATAGGTTTCCCAAGTCTTCTGGGGCCTGTCATTCCTTCTTCTTTTTTCTGGGTTGCACATGAAATGTGACAAGATGCCAATGTTTCCTGCCAATGTACAGGAGCCCAAATAGCTGCTCAAAATGTTTTCTGACTCTCCACATTTCTTTGACACTGAGAGACTCTTTCTAGTATCAATTCTGAGGGCCTTTGCTATTTTCCTTTCCATCATCTGAGAGACCCAGACTTTGAAACTCAAAATCTGGGAAAAAACTTTATTTCTTTTTTTATCTGTTTTAATGGATCATCATTACCTTGAAACACTGTGTATGCAAAGCCCTAACTATGGCCTGAACTAGCTAAAGAGTCAAGGAGCAACAGGTAATTCCAAAAAAAGTAATGGCAAACTTACACTGGTTAACATTTCAAAACTATTTTCCTTCACAATTATATGTATTTGTTTTATGGAATGTATGACATAATAAACCAAATACTGCTTTGGATATGTGTCATGTTGGATTTCTTATGTATTCTACTACTTAACTGAAGATGTTGGGTAAATAAATGGGTTAATAAAATGGAGTTTCTATATTAACTTTTGGATCTATTCTAGCTGTGTTTTGGTTTTTGTTTGTCTTCAATTTTTTTTCTTTGTGAATGCTCATTCACTGGCCCAGCTGTATTTATGCCTAGATTAACCAGAGAAGTTGCCAGCTGTGATTTGCAGATGTGTTCTAGTTCCACAATGCCAGAAAAATTCAATTATGCGTACTAAGGTCATCTCTATAAAGCATGACCATACTGACATTTTATGGTGAATAGAGAGCATCAGAATACTTAGCCAGCAGCAGATTGTATCTGCTTATACTATGATGGCCAAAATGACCATATGTGAAACCGTTATTTTAGTTATATTTACAGCTAAATTGAACCAGGCAGTGATCCAAGCAATGGATTGGCAATTAGCCCAAGTCAAGCTGAGCAAGGGTGATTTCAGGCTGCAAAATGTGAACAAAAATATGAGCTGTTACAGCATGTATTTAGAGTTCAAATAGAATAAAACCTCTCAGACAGACAGAGTAGATATTGGAATGAACAAGCTGACTTCCAAGTATTTACCTCACTTTGCAAGTGTATATCAGGAACAAGATAGGATTCTGACACGCAATACCACCCTATGGCACATTTTCTAGAGTGCTATTTCCAATCTATTATGTTTATCAAAACATTAATATCCATAATGTGTTTCAAACCTCTGTTTTTAGCCATGATTATGAAAGGAAGGATTTGCCCTGTTACTTTAAAGAAAAACTAAACAAACAAAAAATAGATGACATAATGGTTTTCAGACACTGGACAAAAGGGAGTACAAAAGAATAAGATAAGAAAAACAAATAAGGTGAGGCTTATATTTCCAAACGTACTACTTGGAGAGAGTTTTAGGCTGGTTTACAGGGAAGGGGAATCCAAATGATGCCCAGCAGTCTCTCTGAGGTGACCAGAGTTGAGAACCCAGGCAGTCCACAGTGGCTCTAGGTTATAGAGACAATAACCAGAAAGGAAATTGCTTTATGGAGAGGGGAGGCCTGTACAGACAGAGAGCTCTGGACTTCTGCAGAGGGTTCCTTTTGGGACTTATGTGAATATTGCTCAGTATGTGCATGTGAGGAGACTGCCTGAGACAGGAAAAGAAATGAGGAAGGATTAGAAGGAACAGCGCCTGGGATTCACACAGAACATGGAACAGGTTGTATTCCTGCCTGCTAGAGTTGAAGAACTTTGTAATATGAGAAAGAATCAGAGTACTCCAAAGAGTATTGCCTCAGCACTGGGACAGAATTAGCCTTTGACTAAAGGCTGCTCTGGTCCTACCTTAAAATCAAGCCTTGAAAAAATAAGTCAACTTTCAAGTAACTTAATTGTGTCCCACAACAAAGATCAAGAATAATTTAAAGGTACACAAAACCAGCCAGTGAGGCAAAATGTATAACATCTATTCAATAAAAAATTACTGGCCAGACAACAAAGCAGAAAACTATGATCTGCCACAAGGAGAAAAATCAATCAATTAAAACAGATACTTGAAATAGCCTCCCTTTAAAAGCTCTGTGTTTCTGTTTATTATTAGGGCAATGACATTTTTAGACATTTCCATCTTCCTCAATTGCCAGCAAATTAATAAACTCTTCTTTCATTTTCCTCAAAAAAAAAAAAAAAGACAGAAAGAAAAAGAAAAGGTAAAGGTGGGAGAAGATATTTGCCAAAAAATGTATCTGCCAAAGGACTAGATTATATAAGGGGGCCTTGTATTTTAATAATAAGAAAGAAAACAGCCCAATAAAAAATTGGCAAAAGAATCGAATAGACATTTCACCATATAGATGTCAAAATAGCTCATGACAAGATGTTCAGCATCATTACTCATTAGGTAAATTAAAAACAAAATGATATATCACTACATATACATTTTAAAAGCCTCAATTAAAAGCATTTACCATACCAAATATTGATGAGGATATAGAACAACAGAATTCTCATACATTGGCAATGGGAATGTAAAATGGTTGGGAAATATGTGGCTGTTTCCTTAAAAGTTAAACATATTACCTTCCACATGACCCATATATTTTACTCCTGGATATTTACTCAAGAGCATGAGAGCATATATACATACAAAA